GAACTGTGTCGAATTCAAGCCCTTTGGCTTTGTGTGCTGTGGAGAAAACAATATCTGCGGAGAAGAAAACAAAAACAAAAATAAACAAAGGTAGAAATGATAAACACATCAGAAAATGCTAACGCTTCATTAGACAAACGTAGCTGCGTAGCGAAAGGGATTGTCACTGTGGCTGGAAAACTGTGCCAGCAGATGTATTAGCAAAGTGGTAAAAGGAAAAGCGTGAACATGACACCTTCAGCTCAATGAAGAGTGCATATAACCCAGAGAGTAAGATAAAGACCAGTAAGAAAATTAAGGCAATCAGATTATATTCGAAACTCCATAGAAACCCTCTCTAACTTGCAGCCACTTTATGATTTCATTTTAGCATACATGTAACCTGAAGTAGTCGACTAATGTTCGCGAAAGAAATTTTTTGCTTGTTTTGCTTTGTTTTTGCGTTTGTACTTTTTTTTCTTTTTCCTTCTGAATAGCCTTGCCTTTACAGAACGCACTTTTCTAGCCTCTTAGAAATCATGGATATGTACCTGGTTACAAACAGTTTTTACTTGTTTGTCTTTCCGTTAATTATGGTTTTTTTTTCTCTTGTTCCGTTTGGTTTATAAAATTTCACAAAATTTCCTTTCCCAGTTAAAAGGGACCAACAATTATGGAGCTTCACAATATCTTAACTTTCTTACCCGCCTGCCGTAGGTTTCCAACGGCTTTGGAAGTTATCTTCTCTATCCTTTGCGGCAGCATGACATGATGTGTCTCGACGATCTGAAACAACAAGTGAAACTGAAGTGTAGTTGCTTCCCATTTGAGTAAACTGTGTTTGATTTATTTATAAGAACGAATAAAACAACAACAAAAACTGACGTACCTTCAACAATGAAAGCACATTGCCTAAGACGCTGGACAAACGTGCGAGACTGAGTTGCATTTATTTTTAGTTTTATATCTGATTGGTTGAGAGTGGCGCGCGTTTTTTGGACCAATCACAGAGCGAAGTAAAAAAAAACCGATGACGCGGTCAAAAAGTGTCCACGTCAAAAGTTGTTGTGGTTTCTCGTGAAATAACGTATCTCACTGTCTGACTAAGCTGAGGATCTTGTATGATATCGAGTAACCTTTTAACCATAAAGGCGTGGTACAAACCTTAATCTTGCCAAGCAGTTCTGGGTCAGGAGCACATTTCGCATACTTCTTCAATTCAGAAAATGAACGGAATTTCTTGATTAAAGCGTCCTTGATTCCTGAGTGCGCTACAAGAAAAAGAAACAATTTATGCTCCAAGCCATGTCATTTTTTTCTTTAATTTTCATCGATCTGCGAACTATTTCAAAGTGCATAAAAGCTCATAACTAAACGAAACACTGTTTACCCCTGGAGAAAACACTGTTAATAAAAGTAGCGTTGACTAGATGACATTATCACAGTTATTTGTTGCAGGCGACATGATATGACGGCCAACCTTAGAGTAAAAGTTGAAGCGATCATTGGACAATCGTCGACCTCGCAGGGAATAAATTTGTTTTTCAGTATCATTACATGAGTGGTTATCAGAGCAACCGCATTTTATTCCGTTTGTTTTTGGCTTCTTTTTCTTCAGAAATTCGTGAAATAGCTTGGAATCATTTTGAAAATAACTAATTATTTGTTGCATTCAAGTCGTCCGGGATGATTCTCCAGGAAAAGACCCGATAATAGGCTATTTCCGAATTACCTTTGGCCTCATTTTCAAAGCCAGTCTTGGTGCTCATCCTTTCCTATGATCATAACTTTTCATTCACATGCAAATTAAACTCATTGTCGTACGAATAGTTAAGCACCACGCCTCGTTTTGAAAAAGAGGCAAAGGTAAATCGGAAATGGCCTGATGACCAATCAGAGCCCACACATATGCAAAATTACCACAAACAATGATCTAACCCTCATTTATAGGTCCTATCATCTTTTAGCCTACAATACTCGAGTGTTTTTGGTATTTTTTGTACCAGACTCCACTTTATAGCTGGTGAAGTATGTCCGCCATACACGCATCTATCACTGACAATCCCCATCGTGTTTAATGTCACTTACGTTTGTTTGTATCAGCAGTAAACAGTTTGTGGATGTCCAACACTCGATCAAGCGCGAGGCTTTTAAGACCCTGAAAAGAGAAAGAAGGAATAGCATGATGTTTGTAAGCAAAATGTATCTTAAGTACTCGTTTAAGGTTACAGTTTGATGTGAGATGTGGACGAATGTTCTCGCGTGTGCCGGTTTGTGTTGTACTTCGTGTAAGCATGATTATTTTCCTGTATTTCGTTCTCAGCAAGAATTGTATGCTCTAGACATGACTCAAGGCATGGTCCCAAAAGTGACCGAAAAAGAATCCTCCCAACAGTACTGATGTATTTTCCCTGTCCGACAAGACTTAGCCCAGTCGATAATCATTTTATCATGCACCTGCCGCTCTGACTGTTTCTTCCGTTCTTCTCGCGGTTTTGCATCTCACAGGGCCGTACGCATAACTTTTTCTCACCCAGCTCGTGCTACCGCGCACGCCCCTTAAACGGTGAGCCGCGCGGGTCAGATGATACACGAACTTATGAAAAAAAAAAATTTTCAATCACGCCTCACCCCAACAAAACCAACTCTTTTGTCGTTGTTCGCACAGCACACATTAACAGCCTCGTTGAACAGAGTATAATTACAGCGTGTAATCACGCACAGCTGACCGGATTGTTCACCAAGCACTGAGCCTACAAAATGAACGATACCTAACATAAAGATCCATTGTGCTGATCAAAACCCTAACAGTCATAAAAAATGAAAGATTTTTCAAAGGCTAGTAACGCACCCTTATCAACTAACTTACGCCGGACGCCTTACAACTGTGTGTCGTGAAATCAAAACCAGATTAGTCGCGATGGACAAACAGAATGAAGTAAAATATCACCAGGGGGCCAGTGGGAAAACAAAGCAAAAACAAGTCGACTGCCTTGAGCGCGGGAGAATGACAGGAACCATGTCAAAACTGGTTTTGGTTCTGCATCAGACCAATTGAGGTGGCGGCGGAAGTTTTTGAGACCAATGGAAGAAGGCAGTAAAGCGACACCAACTTAATGCTAAAACCCAGATTTATATCAATGAGTGATATTTACGGCAACGAATTGGTTCAGTAACAGTATTGATCTTACAAATAACCTTTGCAATTTAAGTAAATTTCAGGTGTGGTATCTACCTTTCTTAGCTCCTCCAACCAAAGTCTTGTTTCGCACGCCTTTCAACACGTCCAAAACACAAGACGCAACATAAGCTATCTCCGGACCAAATCTGAATGACTGTAAACCAACAGAATTCAAGTGTAAGAAGATTTCACACGTTCTGTTACAGTGAAGAAACATAGAAATGTGCGTTGAAGCGAATTCCATGCTTCTATATTGTATAACCATCACGTCGTGACAAAAAAAACAACAAAAACAACTACTACAACCAAACGGAGATATCTCCACTCCCCCACCCCCATTTAGTGTCTATTGCTGCTGTTATTTTGTTGTTGTTTTTGTTGAGGAATCTAAAGGTTATGTGTCACTTATTCAGTGAACTATTCATTTTTCTTTATCTATTCGTTGATTTCGTTGTTTAATTTCTTGTTTTGTTTTTTTTCTTGTTTTGTTTTTTTTCTTGTTTTGTATTTCATTTAGTTACATGTGATGCTTTGTAAAAAACAACACTATTTTCTTTCTTTCTTTCTTTCCTTCTTTCTTTCACTCTGTCTTTTTCTTCCTTCCTTTCCTAATTTCTTTTATTCTTCCCAGTAATATTAATAACTGTTATTATCATTATCATCTTACTGTTATTGTTATTACCATTATTAGTAGTAGTAGTAGTAGTAGTAGTAGTAGTAGTAGCAGTAGCAGTAGCAGAAGCTATCACTATCGTTACACTTATTGTTAGACTCACCAACTAACCTGAGTGAGGTAAAACGTGTGGGTGCCTTTCACCTCCTGAAGAGCGTTTCTTGCTCCGCGAAACGCATAGATCTGCTGATGGGGGTCTCCCACTAAAATCTTTGCACAAGACTGACTGAGAAGAATATCGGAGGCAGCTACAACACAACATGCGACACGTGTTAACATGCATCCAATTCATATCATCCAGACGAATTTAAATAACTATGGCTTTTAATGTAATGGTTCAAGTTTCGAGAGCACTGAAGCAAATTCAATAAAATACCGGATTATTGTTGAAAATCACCATTTTAAATTATCGTCAAGAATGATTGGGCACAATGGTTTCTTACGCATGCAAAGAGTCTTTTACTCACCAGGAGTACAGTCTTGAGCCTCATCAACCAGGAGACAGTTATATCCATCAAGAACTGGCCTGTTGAGTTGATAGATCTTAAGGTAACCTGGAAAAAGAATTATGAGTGTAAATCATTCTGTAATTCAAGGTGGCCTCACGGTGTGCACGCTGGACGAGAGGCCTAAGCTAGGGATCTAGTACCCACTTACTGTACGGGTGCGTTCTGTATTCTAAACGTTGAGATATAAAAAAAAGATTACACACTTACCATCATGAGTGATTGGGAATTCTTTATCTCCTTGATCTTTCATTCTCTCCCATAAGCCATGCGCATGTGAGACAACTTTCTATGGTTAAAATGAAATTCAAACAACCATGTCAACTATACCTTATCCACGGGTATCCATAAGTAGCAAAAAAACAAAACAGCCTAGTATAATAAATTTCGAATATAATCCATATAGATGCTAGAAATTGGCTTTCAAATATCGCCCTTTCCGAATACATGAACCCTTTCGCTATGAAAACTTAACGTAAACTCGCCTGATCTCAATAAAGGGCACAACATTTTTTTTTTTCTGACACAACATTTTTGACACGTCTCCTGCCATCTCCCATTTAAGTTACCACAAAATACAAAATAGGATTAATAATGTTGCACAGAATGCCATGGTGGAAAACCATATAAACTGAATTTTGAGAAGTTGGCGCGGCCGTACACTATGTTCATACATAACAAAGGTGTTGCACGCTGCTAGGGGTTAAGTTACAACAAAAGCAGTCAAAGACGACCATGTTTGACTCAATACCCCGTATTTTCAACAGAATTTTTAGTTGTAAACCTACCAAAGCGCTGACACCTAACTCCTCCCGTTTCTATCTCGTTCGCGCTAAAAGTTACGAAGTAGATTGTCTTCGTTTAAATTTCGTTTGTTATTTCTTTCATGTATCTTAACTGTCACGTAGGTTCGTATGATCCCCTCGCCAGATGTCGCTCATAGTAGCCTTGTCATTGCTAGTTTCAGTGTATTTCTTTGCTTCTGTTTTAAAAACCACAGTGACTGTTTATCGCTAAATGACCGCTCGAAGCACCTGTCACGTAAGTTTAAAATAAATCTACCTATGCGTCTTGTACATCAAATCAACCTACCTGAACGTACTGGTCACTGTTCAAATAACTTGTATCTGTACCGTGTTCACCAAAGATAGATACCACAATCTCGCTTCCTTCTGAAGAGGAAACATCCACTAAGGTTCTCTTAGCTGCTGGTACATGTTTGGGGTTCACAGTGGTGTCAGCAGATGCTATGAAGTTATTAAGAGTTTCTTCAACGCGTC